GGGAAATACGTTAGCAACATAACGCAGCTTCCCTTTCTTCACATCTTGTTTAATTGGGTTTAAAGGATCCTTTGTTGCAATCTAAAAAGAGGCAAGAGTTGCATGCAAGTATTTTTATTAAACTAGGTGAAGATTTTCAGAAGACAGCAGGACCTAAGAACCCATCCATTTATTAATGGGTGCTGAAGACCGAGCAACTCTCACCGAGGTCAATCTGAACAACTGGGTTCTCGGTGCCCTACCAAGTCTGGCCATAGGCAGATGCCAAAACATGGCTTAAGACTTCATTAGTGGCTTGGGTTCCCTAGTACAAGATAAGTATTTTCCACAATAGATCTCTTTTGCCTCTTGAAGTTGCTTAATACAAACTGTCCTGGTACTCTATGACAAGACTTTAGTTGCAGATTCAGATGTAGTTTGTGAATTGTGGCTCTCCTACTTTGTGGCAACTAGTCAGGAGCCATAAGGGCTACTCCCTGAGCACCTGCCCTCCTCACAAGGCACTATAGTACTGGTTCTTCCTTACATCTAAGTGTGCCTGTAGCAATTCCAACACCCTAGCAGGTAGGTGGAAGTTAACCCCTTTCCCAAAATATCTTCTTTCAAGGGATGTCAGAGGCTGAGGCAAGGGGATCACAGCTCCATCCATGATCTTGGTGTGGAACGTAGCTGCACCCCCAGGAGTAATCTAGCTAGTGAGTAGCCAAGAGCTACTCACTACCTAGGCTCATTCAGCACATCATTTCAACGTTTAAAAAATTAAGAACTGTCCACACACTGCAATTAATTGGCAGTCTGCCGCTGTTATTGGGCCAGTCCTCTCTGCTTACGGAACTTTAAGTTCCATGATATTTGCTTACTCCGTTATCAGTAAAGCTTGTGATAATTCTAGATTTATAACTTGCATTTCTAGGTTTTAGAATCTAGAGTGTTTAACGATATAAAACTAAAAGATCACTGAAGCAATGAGACTTCCCAATTCTTTGCTGAATTTCACTTTAAAGAAAAAAAGTAGTCTAATTACCTCCATCTTTGCATTTGTCCATCGAGGTACTTCCACAACCATGTTGAACAAGTTCTGAAGGCAAGAAGCAGATCAGTAAGTCCAGAATGATAAGTAAACCCTATATACTAAAAAGGCATGTAACTAGTTCACTGCAGATCAGTTTGTTTGAAAGGCTAAAACAGTTTGCTATGTCCTGTCGAAGTTTTGATAAAGCCCCACAGCTTGGAGATTTCCAAGACAATACCCAGACTAGAATAATTCCTTCATTCATAACTACTCTTTAAGGGATTTTATAGCCTGACAATGGTTTTTACATAATTGGTGGAACAAGGATCTTTCCTTAAAAATTACCCATGCCTCTGGCAGATCCTGAAATGCTTTTTAGTTTAGAGGTTTATATACAGCAACTAGTATCTCATGATAGACATCAATTTGTTTAGCACTAAAAAGAAAGAATTAGTTTAGACACCTGAAGATATCAAAGTGGTTCATTTATATAATCTGTATAGTTATAGGGACAGTTAATTAAAACCTGAATATTTAATAAAGAGCATTTAAACTTCAAAAAACTAAAATCATCCAATTAAGAGCCAGATATTTATATGGTGTTCTTGATGCCCAAAACCCCCAGTACTAAGGGATTTAGTTTAAGAGAGCCTTAACAGTAGAAAGGTACCCTGTATTGTTGTCTGTAAGGCAGTTTCCTATACAGAAAGAACATGTCCAGCAGGGCATACACAAGTAGTATGAGAGATTAACAACTGTCTCTTTAAGTACTGAAACTATAGGTGGGATTTGATGACTCCCATTAAGTTGTACTAACACTAGAGTCCCTCTCCCTCCAGAGGCTCTCTCCCCTAAAAAAAAAATAAGACTGACAAAAAGTTAAGTAAAAAACTTGAGCACCTGCAGCTTCTGGCAGCATAGCATCAAGCAATCCTTCTAAGCCCTCAGACAAGCAGCACTAACAGTTCAGGAAAAAAAAATTATACAGGTGAAAGGGACTTGTTATACTGGTATATGTCAGAGTCAGTTAACTGCGTTAACATAGCAGTTACCATACAGACTTTGTTCAAGCCCTCCAGCAGTGGGAATTTGCTACTGGGGCTCTCTGTAAACTCCTGGTGCTTCATTAGTAGCAGAACAATACACAAATAGTCAGAAGAGAAGGATTAGATCTGCTGGTGGGGAAATTAAATTAATCAGAGCAAGGCAAAATGCAGCTGCTCGGTGTTTATGTGGACAGAGTTATAAACTGGCTTTTGCATGGTGCAAAAGGGAACTGGAGTATGCAACTGTCTTCCCTTGAAGATAGACAGTTTCTGAAAGCTTGCTTGCTTAACAAAAACCACTGATATTTGGGAAGAAAGTGGGAAAGTTTGCTATCACGTAGGATACACAATTAATACACCAAGGTACTGCAAGGCCACATTAATTGCTATGAGAGCAGGAATCCTCGTCCAGACAAGGTCACCATCTCTCAGAACCTAGACTGAGGGACATGTTATAATCCTTCCAAGATTTTAAATACCAGGATTAAAAGCACAAGACTCTTAAGTGAATAGACAGTACTTTAGCCTTTTGCCCTAAACTGGGCTCCCTAACTGAGCTGTTACTTGACCTGCATAATGACCAGGAAAGTTCCCTGGAGAAGTATTCCTGCAATAGAGAGAGAGAAAATACTCTAATATGATCAGCACTCTACTGTATAGTTTAGACCCTACAACATGCATCACTAATGACTTCTCACCCCACAGACATACTGGCAGTGTGCCAAGTGCTTATCCAAGATTGACTATCGAGGGAAATGTACCCAGCCTGGAAGCAGCTAGTCACCTTTCCACGAATACACTTCCCAGTTCACCTTCAACCCAATTCCATGAACACCAAGGCAGTGAAGCACTACCTATTTGCATTTCATTACTTTCCAGATACTTGCTTTTGAAGTTAGTACAATAGGCAAAACCCTGCTTTTCACCCAAGTTAGCATATACTGCTTCACAAGCGGTCTTAACTTACAAAATGCATCTTATCATTTAGTACACCAACATCCTCACATCATGCTCGTTATTTGTTCAGGGGTGCACGATGGTTACATGTAGAACATGGCTCAAGTACATGAAATCTTGCTTTCTATAGACGAGAGGGCTTTTTTTCCCTGCTCATCCTCCCCTTAAATGTATGACACCATCTCTCAGAATATGGAAAACTGCCATCTGCATCAGAATGATACTAGTGCAGGTAAATACTAGTCAGATATTTTGACTAAGAGTCTTTACTGTAATAAATGAAAGATAGCCAGTGGACTCTATCCACACCTTTCTTCTGTTTCCTTCTCTTATATCACTATCATTAATTTATGAGCACAGAAAATAACCCCCTGTAAGTATGTACTACTTCACCATCAAACCATATAATAGAGGAAGGAGGAAAATTACTGATAGATATTAAGAACTTGTTTAACACACCAGTCCAAAGAGAGGTTGGGAGGCTTTCACTTCATATATTCAGGAAGAGTGTCTGCAACTCCACCCAACTTGGTGTCATCTGCAAACCTACTAAGTGTGCACTCAATCCTATCATCCAAATCGCCACTAAATTAACAGATTCTCTCTGTAAACTTAAGCCATACAAGTTACTTTGTACAATGGGAATGACAATCATTTAACTCATGATGGGTGGGAAAAGGTGAAAAAATGGCAACAATTCCTACTTAAATCCAACATCTTCGCTAAGCAGTACTAGGTATGGCCATTGCCCAGTTTGACAGAATGTTATGGTTTATTAAATCCTTATGAAATGCAGAATCAATTTTTCTCTGGATTCTATTACGATCTGACCTATGTGGTACTCCCACGAGCATCAGTAAGTACTAGAGCAGCAGAAGTGGTTTAGGTCACATTGTTTCACTTCCATCTCTACAGCAATACTAAACTTTTTTAATACTGTCAAAATATAGCCCTATAAATCTTGGGAGCAATACATACATGAAAGATCGTTTGGAGATGTATCATGCCTAGATCCCAAACCACCACTGAGGAATGCTCAGTGCAGGTGCAGGAAGGAGGAAAGGTGCAGCAAGACTAACTTAAAACCCTCTTGTTCTTGACCAGACCACAAACATAAATTAGAGCAGCCACGCAAGTAGAGCAGACTCCAACAGCCTAAAGGGCTTATTACACACTTAGCGTTACAGGGCAGAAAGTCATCCTACGCACCCTGAGGATCTCCAGTAGCTGGTTATACTGACATTAGAATGGATTTGTATTGGGTGACTGACACAAAGCTGACTTTACACAGCTGAGAATTTAGCCTTAACTGTCTGATCACAGTACTTAAGGACAATGCAGCATTGAAGATCAAGATTCAGCAGAAAAGGGCTGTATAGCACATTTACAAAACCAGTGGATTAATATTTTTCCCCACACAGTTCCCCCCAACTCCTTTCTCCCCACCCCCAAGATAAAAATCCTGTTCCAAGAGAACAAACTATTTAAACATTACATGGATTGAAAGGAATCCAATACAATTCCTTTTCACACAATGGTACAAGATTGGCTGTCTTAAATCTCTTCCTCCACGCCCATTTAACAGTTTTTTCGCCTATGGTTCACAGTGGCTCAGTAAAAAAGGGCCTTAGTTTTGTGTGTGGCTCACATGATGTTGGTGAAATTCTGCAGAGGTATTCAGCTCACCAGGGGCAATTTACAGGACACGGGGCTGTAACTTCACTTCTGAATCACATTTTGTATTAAACACTCAAAGACTGTGATCTTAATATACTGTGTCCATAAAGCAAAACAATCATCATAAGATTGTAATCAAAACTGGTTGCACATTTAAGTTAAGAAAAATCAACCAATGGTTTGCTAACAGAATGGTGCCTCTTCCCCTTCTCCTCACGCACCAAAACCAATACCAAACTTGTTCTAGGGTAGACATATTATAATTCAATTTGAAACTACATTTACACAAGTGTTTACTTGCCACTGCAGAGAATGGATGAAGTTCACTGAAGCCAGGTTGCTCAATAAACAAATGGCAACTGCACTGATTAAGTGCTCAGCTACCTTCAGCCCCCCCACCCGCAACCTGTCTCACCCACTGACTCTTCAGTTACATGTTCAAAGACTGGCTTTCTTGCATTCATACCAGCCTCTGACTTCTTTACTATGCATTCCATCCAGGAAGAGCACACACCATCTGCAGATGCTTCCTCAGCCTGAAGAGCTTGCTAAGAAGAATTTTTCCAACTATCTGAGTTGGTCTAATAAAAATATATCAGATTTACCCAAAGAACCCAGCTACCATCAGCTTCTGTTGTGTAATCACTCAACTCAGATGTCAACACCACATGCCTTCCCCACAGAGCCCTTCCATGAAAGAGAAACTACGTGCATCTTGCCTCATGCAGGTCACGATTAAAGCACCCACAGCATCTTGTCAAACAAACTTTACCTAAAGCCATTGGTAAGGGGTGCACATGCACCCCTTGAGACTGGCTGGGGGGGGGGGCCAGGCAGTCCCTGCTTGCCATGCCACCACCCTCAACTGCATCTGTGGGCAGTCACTGATCACTCGCCACCCTCCCCCCTCGCTGCTGAGGCCACCTGCAGGGGCTCCCTGTTGCCATCACTTGCAGGCAGTTGCTGTGCCCCCCCAGCCTTGGGAGGCACGCAATCTTTATGGTTAAAGTGCCCCACCACCATTTTGAAGCACAGGGATGCTGATACATGAGATGCAGAGACTGCTGGAGCGTGCTATTTAGCATGCTCCAGTGGACTCAATTAATTGAGTCTGCTCCAACACACTATAATTACAGTGCATCGGAGCAGCCTCCCCGCATGCCTACAGGCACCCTAAATGACTAGAGTTTGCAGGTCTCAATGTAACCATATACATTACCTTGCCATCATCTGCATATATTGGAATGTCATGGAATGGTGAAATGTATTGTCCTTTATCATTTTCTGGGGAGGGAAAAAAAGAACAAATAGGTTACTACGCTGGCATTAGATAGCTTACTATGGTTTTAGAGTTGGTTGAATGCATAGCTTAGGTTCAACATTTTGACATAGTAACAGTGAAGTTAGTGTCAGATTAAAAAAAAAAAAATCAGTCTACTGTTATAACTAGTGCTGCAACCAGGAGTCTAAAACTCTGCATTTCATTCAATACAACACAAGATGACTTGTGTCCTCCCCCTCTATGTGACACTAGTCAGGCCACAGCTGGAGTACTGTGTCCAGTTCTGGGCACCCCACTTCAAGAGGGATGCAGACAACATTGAAGGGTCCAGAGGAGGGCCACACACATGATCCAGGGACAGCAGGGCAGACCCTACAATGAGAGGCTACGGGACCTGAACCTGTTCAGCCTTCACAAGAGAAGGCTGAGGGGGGACCTGGTGACTGTCTATAAACTCACTAGGGGGGACCAGAAGGGTTTGGGGGGAGACCTTGTTTCCCCTAGCGCCCCCCGGGATAACAAGGAATAACGGCCACAAGTTGTTGGAGAGTAGGTTTAGATTAGACATCCGCAAGAACTACTTTACAGTTAGGGCGGTTAGGATCTGGAACCAACTTCCAAGGGAAGTGGTGCTGGCTCCTACCCTGGGGGTCTTTAAGAAGAGGCTTGATGCCTACCTGGCTGGGGTCATTTGAGCCCAGTTTTCCTCCTGCCCAGGCATAGGGTCGGACTTGAAGATCTACAAGGTCCCTTCCGACCCTACTTCTATGATTCTATAACTGCAAGACCCCAATTACTTCTTTGCAGAGCGTCTCCGTAATAGCTGCACATTTTCAAATAAGTTTGGTACATGTACATAGGAAGTAAATGAATGCATCTTTTCAAAGTACTTATATTTATGCTTCTATTCCTGCCTCACTAGCTACAGTAGTGTTTAGTGATGCTGTAGCCATAACAGTGTATGGAATATACAATAATTATTTAGATAATGGGAGTTAAGCAAAAATAAATAGTTCTACCTCATATTTATCCAAGACTGTATGTACTTCTTTACCAGACCTAAGGAAGAGCATCTTGGCTGCTTGCAGACGTTAAAAAACAAAACCAAACCAAAAAAAACTGTGCTTTACTTTAAACTCAGTGCATTCTCATGATGAGCTCTGCGCATGCCCAGAAGAGGCATGATGAAGAAGAGGCTTCTTCTGATGAAGTGCGTTTTTTCTTTTTTAATGTCTGTAAGCAGCCTTTGTTCCTGAAAGCTTGTTAACTTTTCCGGCTATAGTTAGTCCAATAAGAAAAGTTATTACCAAACAACACCTGCGTCTCACCAGCTACAGCACAGTGAAACAGAATGCAGAAACAGAATTCATGTGCGTAGTTCAAACACTCAAATGAGAAGCTGGTAGCACAGGTGTATAAAGTTCAGTATAAATACGACAGTATCATTTTTTTCCCCATAAATGCTCTAGACCTCCCAGCAAGTAAATGGTTTTAAGATGTAGAAGAGTACTTTAGCTATGAAGATGCCTTTCCATAGGTTTGAGCTACCTACTGAAGACTAACCATGATCACAAGCCAAGATTAATAGACCTAACTCCCTCCTACTTCCTCTGGCTCTGCAGTGGCAGTTCTCCAAAATGGCAACAACCCTCAGTTCAGACCTGTTGAGCAGGTGAGGTTCTGATGGCAGTTCCAGACTACTCTGCAGGTAAATAGGCAGGATCTTCCCAACCCTGTGTATTCCCCATGATTGCATATCTCGTATAAAGCTAAAAATACTCAGTGAAAGTGACTATTTGTCTGCTACATGATACCATATCTGGTTTTGAGGTAAGACAGGCTACTACTAAAAGCTTTGTGGCCAGAACCATCAGTAAACGGAGTGCTGACAAGGATTAAAATACTAGTTTACTCTGGAGCCACGTCCACTTTGTCTCATGCACTGCTGCAGGTTGAGTTTGGAGTCCACAGTAGGGACTTTAAGCCACAACAGAAAGAGCATTGCTGTTAACAGTCTACATGGAACAGATGGAGGGAAGGGGCAGAGAGGGCAGAATTAATGGTTTCAATCCCATGGGCATCCTTTTTTCCCAGATGCCTCCTACTTGCTTCATTATACAGGAGCAATGTTATTAGCTAGCCTCTAGGCAAAGGCCAACATAAAAGTCACCAGAAGTCACAAAAGTCACTTGGTAAAGTTCCAGTGAACAAACAGAACAAAGTTCAAAAGTCTCATTTTATTAATAATGTATCTTTATTGTTACTGTTAACATCAGTACTCACTCACCATAGTTACCCGAATGCAAGATTACTCCGAATTTAAGATGCTTCCTCAATAATTAGATGTTATACATAAAGAATTTATAAGTTTGTTATGATTTTCCATGCACAGAACCTGATTATCGGAGGGCTGTCTTAGATTTGTAAGCACCCCCCCATACACACTTCTGTAACTGCTGCAGGAGGACAAGGGGGGGCAGCCGGAGTTACAGTAGAGGGAGCAGGGGGTGGAAAAATCGAGCAGCTGGACCCATTTCCCTAGCCCCCCCCTGCCAGTCCCACCACTTGCCCCCCCCGCACCACTTGCCCCCCACGCAGCACCTGCCCCCTCCAGCCCCCTCCGGCTGCTGGAGCTCCCCCAGGGCAGCC